TATTCTTCCCTTCTGCCACTTCCCTATTCAGATTTTATTTTAGTGTTACCCTCAGTATTCGCTGTGATTTCTGGATATTAATTCTTTGCCACATTGGTTCTTCATTCTTCTCATAGGTTAGCTTATAATTTTGTTTCTGACATAATGTAAATAGAACAAAAGTTAATGTTGTATGAAATGTTCAGATCAAAAAACAATGTCCTGTCAATGTTGCTTAATTTTTCCTTCCATTATTTCTTTTTTTACTCACAAATTGCTTTCAATGCTGACATAAATAAATATGTCACTTTATCTTTTATTTTCCTTAGGTTTTATTTATTTACTGCAATACCTTCTGACTCCTTTGAGAACAATTCATGTGTAGAGACAGGTCAAAGTATACTTGGGGTTTGGATTATCTGATAGGCAGCCTGATTGAACAGTCAGTCCCTCATTTCCTCGTTTTACCTCTGGCTCAGGAATCCATCCTTTTTCTATATTAAGACTCACTGAGTTCCAGGATCTGTTTTTATTAATTGCCATGTGGATATACATGACTTCATAATATATTTTGATTCAGAAGAACAAATTTCCAATTTTCCCTGTTTCTTTACTTATTGTTCTATTTATTTATTTATTTTTGTACTTGAGATTGAACCCAGGGGTGCTTTATCACTGAACCACATCCCCAGCCCCCCCTTTTTTGTTGTTGTATTTTATTTAGAGACAGGATCTCACTAAGTTGCTTAGGGCCTCACTGAGTTGCTGAGGCTGGCTTTGAGCAGTGATCCTCCTGCCTCAGCCTCCAGAGCCACTGGAATTACAGGCATGTGCCACTGTGCCTGGCTATGACCTTAGAATTCACTTAAAATTTTTATTCATTTGCTTTATAGTTTTATTTATTAATAATATAAGTGCTTTTTTGAAAAAATTGAAAGTGCATACAGAATGAGACAATAACAAAAGGAAAAATCTTACCCCCTTCTCACTGCTTTTTTCTGAAATTAACACTGTCTTTTTTTTCAACATGTACTTTCAGGATTTCTATTATAGATAGTTTGGAAACTTTGCCACTATTCCTCCTGGGCAATGAGAAAGGAATGTGTCAGAGCAAGGTCACTTTTCTGAGTGTGGAAACAATTCAATACAGTTTTTTTATTTGCTTTACAATTTATCATAGGAATGCATTTTTTTTTAATTGAGAAGACATTGTGTTAATTTCTCAGATTTTCATTTATAATCTTTGTGACATGTGAAAAATAAACTATACATTAGATACCTGTGCAAGCCATTGTATTGCCGCTCTGATATACTAAATGGTTTCTTATTTTGCTTGAAACATAATCTAGTAACTAATATGTCATAAAGATGCCACCGTAAGCATGCCAGTCATTTTAAAGCACTTTGCTTTCTTTTTGTTATTTCCTAATGATGAAGTATTTCACTCCTGGAAACACGTTACAAACTGCATTGCTACTTAATTCTTAAACTCATTTCTGTATGTATTTATTCAACATTCTCTTGGTGATAGGAGGTCCTAAATAAACATTTCTCAAAGGGGAGAAGAATGAATGAAACATACTACTTAAATAGAGTGCTATACAAAATGCCACATTAATAACTATGCAGGGATTTTTAGAAGTGGCTGATGTAGGAACAAATGCGTGTCTTTTATTCACAGCAAAGCCTGAGAGATGAATAGTGGGTAAGTGTGATGTGTGATTTATTCATACAACACTAGTAGGAGATTTATAGGCATCTATTAACCTACTTGAGTTCCAACCCTGTCTTAAGCTTGTCTTTTGTCATGATTAGCTGTGTTGTCACTGTATGTTAAATAACAAGTTGTCTAAACTGAAATATGCAAGAAATATGAAGACAGAAGATGAAAATTATTACACATGTACATCACTTCAGCTAAACCACAGATATATATCTGCTTGTATGTATGTGTTACAAAAATTACACATGCACATGCATTCACACAAAAGCAAGAGATTCCTTTTCTGGGCTGAAGATATATTATCATGGTATGAATTATGTCTCAAAAAATCTATATGTTAAAGTACTAATAATCAATACTGAAAAATGTGATCATATTTGGAGAAAAGATCTATACTGAAGTAATTATGTCAATATAAGTTCATTAGTTTGGGCTCTAAGCCAATCTAACTGGTGCCTATACAAGAGGAGCAAATTTGAACACACAAATCTACAGAGGACAAACAAGGAGAAGACACAGGTAGATGATGGCCATCTATAAGCAGAGAAGAAAAGTTCAGGAGAAACCAACCCTGCTGACTCCATCATCATAGACTTCTAGTCTCCAGAACTGTGAGAAAAGAAATTTCTGCTGTTCAGCTACATAGTCTGTCATAGTTGGTTATAGCAGCCCTATTAATACAGCCATCAACTTAAGAATTAGAAAAGCCATATGTTGGGAAAAAAGGAATTATTTTGTTCCTGTCTGCATACTCATCTTTGAAAAAGATGAATATTATAGGCCTGCACATTATGGTGGGACCTGATTTGATTCTCCCCTGTAGTAAAACATCACTAAAGAAAATTACTACATTACCTGACACTTCTAATGGATCACCCTTCCTTCAAAAGATTAGAAGTCCAACTTTAAGTGACTGCTACCCACTGCCTTAGTCCATTTTGCATTGCTTTAACAAAATATCCAAGTTTTGGGGCTGGGATTGTGGCTCAGTGGTAGAGTGCTCGCCTAGCATGGGTGGGACCAGGGTTTGATCCTCAGCATTACATAAAATTAAAGGCATTGTGTTGTGTCCATCTACACCTAAAAAATAAATATTTTAAAAAATATCCGAGTGTATGGGTAACTCATAAAATAGAGATTAATTTGAGTCATACTTCTGGTGACTAGAAGGTCCAAACATCCCAGTGACAGCGTCCCAATGAGGGTCCCAGACTGCATGACCCTATGGCAGAGAAGCAGGAAGGAACCAGCTGCATGTGGAAGGGTGCATATGTGAACAAGGAAGCAAGAGACAGTGGAGATGGCAAGGCTGTTCTTTTTATAACAGCCTGATCTTGAGGTAACCAAACCCACTCGAAGTCAGCATTAATGCATTCAAGCAGGTGGAGCCTCCATGACCTTCTTACCTTCCACAGGGCTTCACCTCGTAAAGGTTCCAACACCTCAACATCAACAGACCAGGAACCAAACTTCCAGCACATGAACCTCTGGGTCACCAGCCCTATCCACAGGATACACCCTCTTCCATGTGTTGATCACACTTGATTGACTAAGGTAAGATTAACAGGTAGCTGAGTGTCTGAAAGACCTTGGACCGACATCAGGCTTTGAAAAGGCACCACATTCATTTCTCTTTGAGATGCTTAGATCACTTGTGTGCTCCCTACCAGTACCCTGTTGGATATAATACATGTGGCAAGAGAAGAGAAATGTGGGGATGACTAGTTCCCATGCAGCTTCATCCCAAACTCAAGTTCACAATGGATAGGAATGGGGTGAAGGATTTGCAAATGGAATAAACGTAATGGCATTGCTAAAGTCAAGAGAAAACCACATGTCAAAAACAAGGAAATAAAGACCTCAGTACCATTTGACCCAATACAGAACATATGGTAAGCTTTTTTTTTCTTTCTTTCTTTTTTTTTAATACCAGGGATTGAACCACAGGCAGAGCTTAACCAATGAACCACATTCCCAGCCTTGTTTTACTTATTTATTTATTTAGAATTTTGAAATAGGGCCTTGATAAATAGCTTAGAGCCTTGCTAATTTGCTGAGGCTGGTCTTGAACTTATAATTCCCCTGACTCAGCCTTTTCAGTCACTGAGATTACAGGCATATACCACTGTGCCCGGAGACATATGATAACTTCTACTGAGATATGCAACTATCATTTATCAGTTCTTCCAGACCTATGTGGCTGCCCCCTGTGGCCACATGTCCTCCCTGTGGACTGCACCTGGCTCTTGGACTTACACAGGTTTTGCTGTCACATTCTTAATCTATAACTGTAAGATGCATTTCTCTGCACTGTCTTAATAAAACAACATGGGAATAAAGTTTTATAATAGCAACAAAGAGGGGGGAAAAGTCATAATTTTCCATGCTTCACTATTTAGAATAATTAATTTAATAACTGTGTCATATGAGAAGAGTAAATAAAGAGAAGAAAAGGGGTGTGGATATATGTGATCACTGAAGCATCCACAATTGCAAGGAAAAACAAATTACCAGGGTAGTGTCAGAAATAAAAGCTCCATGGGAATTTTTTTTGCATGTTAATTTGATTCTTCTATTGAGCCTTAAAGCTGCAGTGTCTCTACAAGAGAACTGTTTATCTCCACTTGTTTTTATTTTTAGCTATTATATAACCTTATGTCTCTAAAAACAAATTAAACACCTTTCTGATCTCTGCTGGGAATTTTCCTTAAGTAGTTGTCTACTAGACCATAACAGGACTATGATTTCATTTACAACATCTTGCTGGAGATTGTTTCATCATCAGAGGTGTTAAAAAAAAAAAGAACTGGAATTAATCAAGGACAGCAGAATCAAAATAAAATGCAGTTCTCTCTGGACACAGTTACATTCTCTGGGGTTTGTTTCACATGAAACACCAAGACTCTAGACCTAAGAGGAAGTGTTTGATTTTCTTGCCATGGTCCTTAAATTTGCAAGAAAGGATTATTTTTGAGTACAAGGAGACAAACTTAAGTCCCATGCCAGAAATATAGGCTTCTAAAGAAATTATTCCCTTTAAATTGGCAGATATAAAACTAAGTGTTCCTTGATTTGGTTAGCTAAAGCTTAAACCTCATCTACTCTCCCTTGTTTCTTCCTTGAATGTTAAGGAGATATCTCCTTTGCCTTTCCATATTAAGACTCTCAATATTTCCATTCAAATGGCAGGGCTCTATACATCCTGGATATAGTATATTCCCAAGATCACCGTCATCCTCCACCTCTGTCCATCCTTTCTAAGAGCCAGCCCTTGAAACCAGCGGCCGCAGTGGCTTACCGACAATGTTTATGAGATCCTGTCAGGGTTTCGATCACAAAGCACTCGCCATCATTGAGACAGTATGCAAGGTCCTTGTCTCGGCAGGGTTTGAAGTGCTCAGATCTCTCAGTGGAATATGTCGTTGTATCTGTCAAGGAGAGCACAGAGGGAATACTGTCAGCATGCATTCCAACACCAACTGCTCCTGTCACTGGCCCAGATGTGTGCATCGAGGCCTGTGTATGGGGTACAATGGCAGGGACTTGAGACAAACAGGATTGACACTAAACAGTACTGAGCAACACAGCTAGTTAACCCACTGTGTTCAGTTGTCCTCATCATCCCTCTATATCTGCAAGTTCCACATCCTGGGATTCAACCAACTACAGATGGAAAAAATTCAGAAAGATAAGAGCTGTATCTGTACTGAACATATCTACACTTCTTTTTATCTTGTTGCATCACCTAAACAATACAGTGTACCATCTATTTATATACCATTTACATTGTATTTGGTATCATAAAAAAATCCAGAGATGATTTAAAGTATATAAAGGGGCATGCATATGTTATGCAAACTCTACTCCATGTTACACAAGAGGCATGCACATCCATCTGGACACCAATCCATTGAGTCTCCTGAGCCAATACCCTGAGGTTGACAAGGGACCACTGTATTTCTTCAATGGGTTTTAATAATTGGAGTTACTCTAGAGAAGTCTCATTTGAGGACACATTAACAGTAAAAGTTGATTGATCCTGAGCCAAACACCCAAATCTACTTTCAGCAAATGTGTTGTATGAAGTATTGAAACAACATCTTTTTTGCTTTATTGTTGCCAAATATCATTAAACATCTGATCAATGTATTTCGTGATTGTTCTGTAGAAAACTCATGTCAGTTTTTGAGTTCTTTTAGCTACAGCTACAATTGGCTAATAGCTAAGCCAATTATTCTTTCACTTTCTCCTTTTATTATGTAATTAAAATGCAAATGTTCCAAATTCTGAAACAGATAATCACATGTGAAAAATGTTTCTGGTAAATATTTAACAGGACCAAATTATTGTCATTTTTTAGCATACTCTTAAACATGTATTTTTGAAATCATAATCAGTTACATTTTTAAATTAAGTTATACATCTATATCTGCTTTCCAAATATGAAACTAACCATAAATATGCACTATCCATAGGATACAAATTCTATCACCATATGTAGACATTTTTCTAGCTATAGAATTTTCAGCATCTGAAGTATTAACACCAATTCCACTTTAACAGTCAAGAGAAAATATATGTATTTAAAAAGTCAAAGATGAATAAATTATTCAACATAAGCTTTTTAAATTTCCTTTTTATAGATCTAGATTGCTAATAATGTTCACCAGCATGGCATAGGAAATCAGCTCACTAACTACAGGTCACAATGAGCTTCTTCCCTGCTTATCATGCAAACTGATGGGAAACCAATCATCTTAAAAGGAAACCTGCTCAAGTCTCTCCCACATCTAAAAGTCCTCAGTGGGGCTGAGATATATACAGTGGCAGAATGGATACTTGGCATGTGTGAAGCCCTGTGTTCAATCCCCAGCACCACAATCAATAAATACATAAATAAATATATTTTTAAGGAAATAAATATTCCTCAGTGATTACTGTCATGAGGATAACTTAATAAAACAAAGAAAGATGGGCTTTCTTTTAATTTTAATTTAATTTATTTTAATGTAATTTTGCCTATCTGCTATCTTTTTTATAGCATTAGAGGAGTACTGGGGATTAAACCCAGGGGCCTTAACCACTGAGCAACATCCCCAGCTTCCCTGCAACTTTTTTATATTTTATTTAGAAACAGGGTCTCGCTGAATTGCTTAGGACCTCGCTAAATTGGTGAGGTCGGTTTTGAACTTGCAATCCTCCTGCCTCAGCACCACCCCCCTCCCTGAGCCAATGGGATGATAGACATCTCGCTGGTCACTTCTTGCACTCCAAACATACCAAACATACAACTTAATTTTCAACTATTATTGTATTCCCCTCATATGCCAGGTTCTGTCACCCTCCTCTTGTTGAATCAAACTTCTTTCTCATCCACTTATTTTTTTTTTTTCTGGGAGAGACCCTGAAATCCTTCAGAACTTGAATGATCTACTCCTGTCCTGTGCCTCCCCCAACCCTGCTTCCCATTATTCATTTAATGCCATAATAGTTTGTTCCTAAGTTTATCCATATCCATCCTTTTAGTCTATGAACTCCTTTAGGAGAGGAGTTGAAATCTAATCAGAATTGGTGCTCAGTAAAAATATTGTCAAAAAATCTGACCTCCTAACATCACCAACCATTTAAATGGTATGAATGAAAGATGGGGTCATTTAAGATCTCATTACAACTCTATTAATAGTTATTGTATCTCTTAAAGCAAAACATTAGATACAACTTTACAATTATGCTATTGTTTTGGTACATGCATAATGTTAATGAATATTTCAAAAACAATACCTTAAGATTATTTATATAACTCTCATATTCCTCACTTATTGTGAGCATTGAAAAAACAAAGTGACTTTTTGGTATCCTCCTTCTTGGTGTTACAATGGAAACTTTTTTTTTCAGTGTAAAATATCTGATTGTTAATACTTTGAAACAAAACAAAGGCTCTGCAAACGGACACATTTTCCATTTTCTAAGAGATTGTCTGTACAGTGAAGATCTGTTATTCAAGGCAGTGTGTGATAAACCGCCACACAGAATCAATCTCTCTTTCTCTGGGAAATATTTAATATTCAAGAGATCCAACCAAAATATTCAATATGAAATGCCACACAGTTCACTGCTACTCTGACTGCTGAAGTACATTAACTCATGATCAGTTAGTTAACTTTTCCTTTAATTTCTTATTATCTATTTATTGATATTCACTGATCATTCCTTTAAGAACAGCTTTTCATTAACATAACCTACAGCATAAAAAGTGAGATCCTTATTTTATAATCAGTGGTTTTAAAAAGCTACAGACTCCAAAGGCAATACAATGGCAAAGCAATTACAATCAATTATTTCCATCTGACAAGGGATGTCTACTGTGGTTACTGCCTATCAAGTTGCCAGTTATTGGAATGTTACAGAGGATCAGAGACCCACACAAATGTCTCTGCCAGTCCTGGGTGGGAGAGCACAGAGATATGCAGCTTAGCGTGTGCTCAGATTTTCTATTTCCATAGCTCAGATGATTATGAAATTAATTTAAAACACACATACTTATCTCTTATAACGCCTTAAGTGGTTTCAAAGAAAACATTATTATTACCCCTTTGAATAGCTTAATGTTATAAAAGTGAAATATGCTGTGTTTGGGCTTCTTATAATCAATAAAATGCAAATATAAATAAATTTGAAATCTTAAAGAGTTTGCCTAAGCATTTCAACATAGAGTGCCAAAAATCACAGAGACTTTGGGTAGGGTAAGGTACACTCATCATGGCATGATAATTTGCTCTTGAAAGTCATGCCAAAGCTGTGGATGGAAACAGAAAATGAAGTCACTATTCTGTTAAGACTTTTATTAAGTAAATATTAAGCATATTATATCCAAATCACTTTTGGCCAGACCATCTATTATCACCACACATATTCTAACAAAGAGACAGTGAGGATGTTGTGTGATGCCTTCCAATACTTATATAATTGATACCCTCAGATATTTACACACACACACACACACACACACTTTATTCTTTAACATATAAAAGATATTACAAAAATTAAATAGCACAAATTGAAATAAAGAAATAAGACAATTATTAAATATAAGGTGCAATTCTTCTCTCCTCCCCTAAGGTAATACAGCAGGCTCTAATACATTCAGCTGAGTATTCTGTTTAGAATGGTAAACATAGGAAATTTGTAGGAATGAAATAACAAATAAGATCTAACTCCAAGTTGTAGCTGTGAACAACCTTGGGGTATCTTAGTAATCAGATATAGAGCTCTCACCTATGAATGTATCTAACATTGTGAAACCTGTTTTTATTTTTAAAAACTGTACCCTATAAGATAATCTAATAAATTAATCTGGGTATAGAGTACATGGTGCCATTTTTTCATGCACTTAATCAAACACCTATTTTATTATGTTTTTAAAATATTTTTATAGATGTCGATGGACCTTTATTCTTTCATTCAGATGTGGTGCTGAAAATCAAACCCAATGTGCCATACATACTAGGCAGATTCTCTACAACTGAGCCACAACTCCAGCCCCATCAAATATCTATTCTATACATATGATTTGGTAAATTTATTATAGCTATTAATGGCCTTCAAAAACTGTATGAATGAAGGTCTAGGTGAGTCAGTATTGCCATGTATCCCCATTTGTCTTTCAAGGCTCCTCCTTACTCTAGAGAGCGCTTCATTAGACATCACTCTTTCCACCTGCACCTCTATATGGATATCCCACCTGATTGGATCATGAGTGTTTGTGGAGGACAGCAGGCCTCCACATCTCCCATGGTCTTATACATGCCCTGACAGGAAGGTGCACACAATAGATGTTTATAGAAGAATAATCTGTTTATTCAGAGTCTTTTTTCTAAATGTTTATGGTGCAAAGTATGCAATATTTTTTGTTATCATCATAAAAGAAATCTCTATTTAAAAAAACTGAAAGAACATGAATAAATGTTTAGAAGTTAGGATGTGAGAAGTGTTTCAAAAGCAATTTATGTAGATTTTATATAGATAGAAGGATAAGCTCCACAGCATGGAGGATGAGGGAAAACAAACAAAAAATTAGGAAGTGTTTTTTAAAGAGAGGGGCATGAAGGATAGAGGATTGTGAAGTTTAAGATGAGCATAGATGGTGCTAAGGAAGAGCCTTCCAGGCCCCATGATCAGCAGTCAAGGGCTTATCTCTAAGAAAGAAGTAAGTCCACTGGTTGAGGTATAGTGCCCCATCACTTGGGGCCACTTGAGCTATGCAATTATCTGGACCACTCATCTGGCACTTACTATGTGTAGTTTACTGTATATTCTTCTTTATTTTTTTAATGGGTTTTGGTCTCTCTTTCCAGGGAGGTCAGGGAGAATACTTTGTTTTTAACTTCTGTATTCTTTCCACACCATGTAGCATACATAGTAAGCAATC